AACAGTACAAGAGGAGGAGCATCATTCCTTTTTAAAGGATGAAGGTGACTTCAGGAATGGTTTTACCTTTGCAGTGTATCCTGTCTCTCTTCATGCACTTGTATATCGCTGGATTTGTACAGATGGACAGATCATGTGATTGTGAGCAGAACGTGCATTTTTAATGAGTGAGACGATTATTAAATGATTCACTAGGGGTCAGTAACTTCATCAGTCTCTTGCTCTGCTCCTACCTGCGTCAGTAAGGTGGTTTTTGAATGGAAGCTTATCTTGCCTGCTGGTTCAAATGTAGGTGCCAATTTAAAAAGTAATTTTGAGATGTTCAGCACAGAGTGTGTCTGTTTTTCTAGGTTAAACATCCCTAATTATCAGAATTTCCCCTGAACGTAAATTCTGTTGTGATATGTGTCTAACACGTTGATGATGTTTGCACCAGCTGTGGTTCCACTGGGTCCGTCCTCGGTAATGACCTTGACCTGTAAGCTGCTGTAAACACATTATAAGAGATGTGCCTTTTCACCATTTCCTGGTTGATCAAGCCTTGAGTTCCTCTTAAAGTTGAGCCTTTTTAAAAAAAATTTTAGCGTCAAACATGTAATTGTAGGCTGTACTCTCTGATCTCTCCCTGGCCGCTGTGGGGGACCCTCGGTGTGACACTGTCATCTGTTTCTTCTGCAGAAGTGCCTGCATGGCACTGTGCCCCTCTGCTCCCGGCAGCCCTGTCGCCTCTATGCTACAGCGGGAAGCTCAGGGTAGGTATTTAAAGGGAAGGTTTTACTGGGTAAATTCTGATCTCTTACTCTGTATTGATTTAAAGGGGAGGCTTGATTGGATGAGGCCGGATATCGCACTATATATTTATCTAAAGGGAAGGTTTGATTTCCCTCCCTCTCTATGTACATTCAAAGGGGTGTTAACATAGACTAATGTCCAAAGACTGACAATTTTATCATTAAAATTCATTGTCATTGTCTTTAATTTCTTGGTAATAGCTTTTAATACAACCACTTTCTGATTTCAGGGCTTCTGCAGGCAAGATCGTGGGAACTGGTCTCCTGTTTTTAGGTGGTGGTGTTGGCGGAACCATCCTATACGCCAAATGGGACCCCAAGTTCAGAGCGAACATCGAGAAGTCTGTCCCCTATTCAGACCAGGTGTTCCAAATGACTCTGGGTCCATCCACATATTCACCACCATTGCCAAAGAAACCGGTGAGAGGACTCTCATTGAGCATCCCCCTGTAAGAGGCGTGCATGTGGTACCAGTGACTGTCGCTGTGTCCTGGTGATGACTGTATGACATGTATGTGGTACCTGTGACTGTCATGGCTGCACCCCGGGTGATGACTGTATGACTAGAAGCTGTTTATTCCTAGTGTGACTTGAGTGGACCTGTAAGGTTTTGTCATTGGGGGTTGCATTGTTGGTTTATTGTACATGTTTTGTGCTTGTGTGTATCCGTGTATCCTCAGTGTTGCAGTCCTTGTCCCCTCTGTAGGTATCCACAGAACCCCTGAAGATCTCCTCAGTCTCTGAAACGAGCAAGGACTCGAAGCAGCCCAAGGTGAAGGCCAAGGCGACAGAGCCCCCAGCAGTGCAGGAGCCGCCCCCCACTGTCCCACAGACCCTGGAGGGTGAGCGTTGGTTAGCGGGGGGGCGTGGGCCGCACACTGAGCCTGGTGGCTGAGCGTCGGTTAGCGGGGGGGCGTGGGCCGCACACTGAGCCTGTTGGTTCATAGTCGGTTAG